AACCTAAAAGATACATTTTCATATACATATACTATATTATATATTATAATATATTATATATTATATAATAATATAATATATATAATACATATGTAACCTAAAAGATACATATTCATATATATTACATATATAATACACACATATGTAATACCATGGTCACACTTAAAATTCAACAGTAATTCAACAGTAATCAGATATCCCGTCAATATTCAAATGGCCCAGGTTGTCTGAGGTCTTTTTAGTAAGCGCCTCAGGTGATGCTTGTGCGTCATCAAATTAGAACTATTGCTTTTGAGAACACAGGGTGGACAATCTAACTTTACCTTGGGAGGCAGCAGGGTGAATGCAGGCAGTTTGGGAAGATCAGCTGAGAAGGGGCAGCTTGAACCTGGGGGAGCGGAGGCCAGGGCCCCTGGGGGGAACAGGTGGTCTGTGACGAGGCCTGTAGGAAAAGCAATGCTCGGGTTGCTTCAGACACAGAGGTTGGCCAGAGCCGCCCACCCCAACGTGGCGGAATCACTCGAGTCCAGCCTCACCTGGTCAGACTTCTGAAGGCTGAACTCAGGACCCACAGCGCAGAGCAGAAGGATTCGAACTGGCAACTGCAAAGAGAATGCCCGACACTGATTCCGTCTCTCTTGCCAGATGAACTCGAGGCAAGAGGAGCCCCTGCCTCGACTGGTGCCTCCTTCCTCATGCCCCTTCCGCTGCCTACCTCTCATTCTGCTCTTCAGCCCCCCTGGGGTTTGCTGGGTCCCCCGGTCAGTGGGTGGTGCAGACGTCCTCAAATGTCCCGGTGCCCAGGAATCACTGAGGAAAAATATAGACGAAAAGCACAACTCGATGGTTAAGACCAGAGTTTACAACCAAACGACCCGAGCCACAATCCCAGCTCTGCCATTGACCCTGGGGAAGCTTATTTAACCCCAGGTTCCCAGTATCCTCATCTGCAAAGTATAACAGAATATTAATTATTTTGAATGGAGAAGGAGAGGAGGGAGAATGCATTTCAAGGTTTGCTTCTTTTTTTCCCTCCTAAAGTCCTGAGTGGAAAATGCAGAAGGACAACACACTCACAGGACACTGGCAGGACAGTAAATTAATACAATCTGTCTGAAAGGCCACGTGTATATCCTTTGACCCAGCAACCCCACTCTAGGAAGTTCATCCTACGAAAAAATGTGGAAGTTGTATATGGAAATTTAACCACAATAATGTCTATTGCAGCATTATGTGTAATAGGTGTGTAACCATAAATGACCTGAATTCTTTCATCCATTCAAAAAATCTTTAAGAGTCTACTATATGGCTCCTTCTGTTAGGGGCTGGGGGGGGGGCCGGGCATGGGTAGGGAGTAAGAGCATATATCAAGAGTGCTTGCGATCAGCTTCTTGTCCACGGGGCAAGAGACAAACAGTAAACAAGTAATAAGTTAGCCAGATATCACAGATTATAAAAAGTGCTATTATAGAAAGATAGGCTTTAGAGAAAGGAAGAGACGTAGTTAAGATAAGGCCATTTAGCTGAGCCGGAAGATTTAAAATGTGAGTCAGTCCTGGCAAAAAAAAAAGGGTTGTGGGGGTGGGAGTCGGGGTGGCAGGAGGTATTCTAGGCAACAGAAACAGCCATTCAAGAGCAGGGAGGTGTAAGTAACTTCATCCCCACAGCTGATTTACCTATTGAATGCTTCCTCTGCGCTGTGTATCGTTCCTG